TCCGATCGAATGGCATTGATTTTCTCTCGCTCATTATTTCGATTCTCAATAATTTGGCTGATGATTTGTTTCATTTTTGCCGGATTTTTTACGCATTCATTGATACGCTGACCATTGTATTGACTGCGTAAAGATGCAAATAATTTTGCAACTTGATCAGCTAGTTCCGTGGTCATGGTGTGCAAGTATTGTGATTGTGGCTCATTTTTCAACAGTTTAAAGAAATCATTGCGTTTTTGAATCAATTCGCTCAACTCTTGATTGTGCCATGGATGCGATGCATCCGATGGATTTTCTTTAAAAACCAATGTCCAACTCTCGTTTCGAATATCGAAGAGTATTTCAATGAAATCATTAAAATTATCGACAGTATCGAAATCGGTACGGGCCAGCAATGATGAATATTTTTGCGTATTTATTTCTCTTTGTTGATACACTTTCGGTCCGGTGTAGAAACTAATTTGATGACGTGAATGATCATCAAAACCGAGTACGATTTGTTTATGATCGGAAAAGATCACATCCGACAGCGAAATTATAAAATTGAATGTTTTTAAATCGGATGCAATGTGATCGACTATTGTTGGCATTGATTCATATGGATGGATTTGCGATGGGTTCATTTTGGTTGCTGAAGTACGGGTGAGGCTATTTAAAATCATAAATTGTTGGTTTAAAGTGTCGTTGAAATACTGGTGGGTATATTGATTGTTCCAGTGCAACAAATCGACACCAATATCACTAAATAGAATCATGTTCCGATATTGACCAATCAATTCGTTGTACAGTTGCAGCGTTCCTTCTTTATTCGTTTCAGATTGTGTATAAATTATCCCCAAGTGTATGTTTAACGAATGCATTTTCACAACCACCTGATGAACGTTGTCCACATAGCTGTTTTCCACTTCACTCGATATCATATTTTGATGAACGTATACAGCTACACCGCCTTTGCCATCGCCACGATTGTTGAAATAACTTTGATAATTATTCAAATTGAACAAAGCATTTTGCTGTGCTGGTATTTTTATGCCAGTCAGCACAATGAAGTAAATACGCGGCTTCTCTTTTAATATGAATTCCAATTCTTCCAGGTTTTGACGCAATGAATTTATATTCAAGAACAGAATGTTGTATTTGCTGAACTTGATGTCATCTGTATAGTATTTGATTTGACCTCGTTGAACTTCCATTATTGCTCCTACTTTGGTACTTTGACCCGAATGCGTATGAGTGATAGGCTATCTGTTGAATCGTTGTCCAATCGAATTGTTACCAATTAGCCCGGTGAAATGTTCTCTATTCACGGGTCGAAATTTCCGATGTTAAAACCTGTTGCGCAATGTGATGAAATAGTGAAATGAATTATTTGTACACGTCAAAAACAAAAATAAATTTCTTCAACTCACAATCGTCCACAACCGGAAATGATTTATCAAAGATTTCTCGCACGTTTTTAGGTCGATGAAAAATTGCAACTTTTTTTTTTAAAAACACGGTCTTGCACTCAGTTATTGAATATTTTCTTATGTTGTTATCGCTTTGATTGTTTATTTATAATGCGAGAGAAGCGGCATTTGATTTTTTTTTTTCGTTCGTTTCTCAAAATACTGTGCACCGTACTTAGATTCTTTATTTTATTTCACGATATCAGAATTTATATTAGTTTTTTTGCTTAATTCACCAGAACGCTGAGTTTTGTTTTTTGTATTTCTTTTTAAAGTTCTGTTCTTATTTACTCACAATGATCTTATTCACTCACAATATATCCAAATGAAATGTTGATTACTTGACTAATTTTTGTTGTATTCGTGTAATTTCTTCTTTCAGTTTTGTCGAATTTGTTGAAAAAAGAACGAAAAAGGGTTAGAAATTTATCGATGCTTGAGTAAAAAAAAAAATGAAAATACAAAAGATTTCTTCATGGAATGTACCGATTTTCTGGAAACAAAAGTGCCTGTTGAATGTGAAATAGTAGACGAACGACTGAACAGAAGGAGCGAATGTGTACGAAAGATTCATTCTACCAAATTCATGTAATAACATGTTTTTGCCTGCACACACATATTCACACATGCGCATTTTCCCTTTATATTAGCTAGAAAAAGAAAGAAAATACGAAAAAAAACTTTGTAAAAACGTTAAAATGCTCCGTTTAGCCATAAATGTTGTTCGCTTCATCGTGATGGTGTTTGGTTTTATGTCGCGGTCAAATATCACGGAACGAATCGCAAACAGAAAAATGAATGTATTTTGTAGTATTAAATGCTGAAACATGCTTTTTTCGATGACTTTTGCTGACATTCGAGTAATATGATGAGAATATACACAAATACGGTTTGAAAATACTCGGCACCTTAATTGAACAGAGAAAGACATTGCAGCCGCTTTTGCATCTCTTTAAAACTTACACTCAGTCAAAACAAAACACACACACGCATGTTTGGTACACAGCACAAATATATAGGTTTCGATATTTGTCGAAAAAAGGGGCATAATATTGAGTACCATTCATAAATTTTCGTTTTTCTTCTTATTCGCATAGTTTCCGGTCATATAAAGACTGAGTTGAAGAAAAAGTCTAAAGACATTGCCACATGAACCTTCTTAGTGAGAAGTTCTGACTAGTCACAGATATCTTTGGCCTTCTTTCAACCACCAATTACATATTTTACGAATTCATATTTCATTGCTTTTTATTACTCATGTTCATTTTCAATGTGTGTTCGTCTGTCTCTTTCGTGCAATCCATTCCATTTCAATAAAACAATTGCAAACTAATGTGACATGTTTATATTACTTTGTTATATTTTTTCTTCGAATGAATTTTGTATTTAAATCCGTCCACCAAGAATATATCAGAGAGATAATGTTTCAATGTTTTTCTAAAAAAAAAAAAATATAATTTTGAATCAGCCAAGATCGCTTAATAAACGAAGAAAAACAACACGCAGCCCTCTAGGCGAGGGATATATCAAGCGGGCACTATCGATGCGTTCATTTGTGTGAGTGTGATTGTGTAAACGACAATGTTCGTGTTCAATATGTGTACAATGACAGCTTCGAGCATTCCACGCGTAGAGGCATCTTGGCGTCTTACGTCAAATCTTTACCATGTATTTGTATACGAAGAAAGCGACCTTGAATCAGCAATGATGGTAAATATTCAAACCATTAATTGAGGACACCCAATCTGGTATGAAGAGACGATTGAGTGCAACTGTTATCAGAAAAGCGAATAAATTGTACAAATTGCATACAGGGTGAAATGCATACAGGGTGGGTCAAATATATTTGGATCAAAAAGCTGCATTCACATCGCTAGAATACCATGATACGTCGATTCTGTGGAACTAACATTTCAACTCACATTGTGTCAACTGGAAATAGCAATTGATGATCATCAATTATGTTATAGATAAGTCACACGGAACGTGGCTTTGTGGTAAACCATGAATTTTTTTTGCATCATCTATGTTCTGCTCATAAAATTACGTATCTTGAATTACCAAAAATCATCCAACGGTTTCACATGCATCGGTTTTACGATTCTCAGAAGAACAGACAAATTCTGCAATTACTTGAATCTTTCAATCCATTAACAACCGGCGAACTTTAGATCAGAAATGGACAAAGAGACCGACTTTAAATGTATGCTTGTGAGTGAACATTTCTACCAATAATTGTATTTGTCAGTAGGAAGAAAAACTGTGAGAAACAAGAGCTTCAATTTTTTTAGAACAAACTGGATTGATAGTAAAATTACCACATGATTCTTTTCTCTTTTTATAAATTTAATACAAGATCGTTGCTCGTTCCTTCGGACGTTCCCTTCGGTGTATATAATTCAAAGTTCTCAACCATACTGGATTATTTTAATTCTTCTTGCCGGTACAAGATCTTGTCTACCTCATTGAAACGAAACAATGCAATGGCCTCAATGCCCCTGCAAAAATCCACTGCGAATCATTGATTCAGACACATAAGCGTGTTCACACCGTAAAATTATCGTTTAACATTCGCTCAATACTTTATCAGCTTGAATGCAAGAAGGATGAGCTCATCACACACGTTGTCTGCTAAGTGTCTATGTTTATTTTTCATATATGCAATAAAAAACAGCGATAACATAAAAATACTGTATCGGCCAGGCTACATGAGCATGCTCATTGCATGCCAGTCAACAGTTGAAATATTTTCTATGCGCCTAGATTACCATACATCGCATTGGACATTCATTCTTCTTTTTTAATCACATTCACATACCCATGGTGGCGAGGGTGCGATGCAGTTGCATTCATGGTTAAGCCGTGAGAAATGCATATGAGAATGAAGAAAGAAAGGAAAAATGTGCGAACGTTTGTGAAGTTTATTTTTTTCGCCGTTATTTCTCTTCTTGATATCGTTTATTCAGTATTTTAACGATTTAATAAACGACATACAAGTCACGCATATATTTTGTAAGTATATCATTAGACAAATTTGGCGAGTGATTGAAAAAAAAACTAGCTCGTACTATTTTTAGTAATTTCCTTTCTAAAAATCAACCAAAGAAAAAAACTATGTCATTCGATTTAGTTTCACAGTGAATTATATAAAATATCTTATGGTAATCGTTTGATTTTAAATTCATTGTAAATAATCCGTTGACATTTAACGGAATAGATCGTACACTTGATTCGCCCGGCATTGAATGTTTAAGATGTAGAAAAAAAGCGAGAACAAAAGTGCTTAAACGGGCGCATTCGTTAAGAATTTCTAAATAAACCGCTATTGTCAACATAAATTTGCGGTGAAAAAAAAGAGAACACAACAATACATCAACACCTATTTTGCGTTCAGATACGACAAAACAATAGCCATTCAAACACGTTTGAATGTGTGCACCTAGATTGTGTACGGCGTAAGCATTTGAGACGCCAGTAAATTATATCACATCATCAATATCATTATCAGTATGCTGATGAGTAGAATAAGCAATAGCAGCAAAGTGTATGAGAAACTGTACACACCAATAATATCCAATTACAAATACAGACGCTTCAAAGTCTCTGCTCCGTCTTCGTGTTGTGCGTTTGTATTGTTGTTGTTTTATTTTATTTTATTTTTTTGCAGTGATACACAGCAAAGTGAAATTTTTCATCGAGAGGTTCGATTCGATGTGGCCACGGCGTACGGACGGCGGTAAAACGGCAGACGAAAGTAGAAACCTCCGATAATTGTCCCGTGAATGTGAACCATTCAACGTGTGCTCTGCTTCTCTGCTCGGTGTGGAAAGTTTTAATTACAGTTGCAATAATAAACAAAGTAAGCGCGCGTAATCGTTGCTGTTTCATTTTGTAAGTTTGATGCAATTCAATCAGAAGAAGTTAAAAAGAAAACCAGAACCTACTAAATTTATTAATAATTTGTGCGAGTTAATAAACGTTTTCGTTGATTTAATATACCAAAAATAAAGAAAACAATAATCGTGTTTGTTTGCTCTGGTTTCCAAATTTGTATGTGATTTTTTTTATGTAGCAGCAGCGATTTTTCTGTGTTTGCTTTTGTGGTTTACTTTCTGTGTGTGGCTCATTTTTTGAGTACAAATAACAATATTACGGTATCATCGACAATGTATTAATTGTTTCGCTGGCAAACCGAAAGTAAACCGATTGATGGAATGTTCGGAATGTGTCTTCATTTCTCTCTCTCTCTCTCTCTCTCTCTCTCTCTCTCTCTCTCTCTCTCTGTTCATTTATTTGTAGCACACACACAATCACAGACAATCATGTCTACACTGATACAAACACACGCACACACATGCAATCATCTCGAATGCACACTAGACACATTAGTACAACTGTGTGTAAGACAATCGTAACGAAGAGCACAGCGACGAACGAAAAAAAATTGCTTTTGGAATTTTTCTCGTCATTGTTCGCTCGTGCTGAATAATTTCATTTTGGTATTCATTGTGTTTGCATTCCAATGTAAGTGGTGACATTTTCGAATTGAAAGTTTTTCATTTACCCCAAAACCAAATTCCATATCGCACTGCAGCAAAACTGAGATAAAGTCTCGCTCATTCTCTCGATTTTGGACTCTGTGTGTGTATTTTTTCAGTTGACGTTTTCAATTTTGACGCAACAAACACACCGAGACCACGACGTTTGCACGACTCAGCAACATTTGCCGATGATACTTTTTTGTTTACTTAATTCTATTTCGCTAGTTTTGACATTGATCATTGATTGTGTGTGCCGTTCAGGCAATGTGCGATGGAACTAAGTGAAATGTAGAAAAAAAAACAAGTTAGAATTTGTTGTTCGTTCGGTTGTGTGACAGAACATTCTTTTAAACAACAATTTTCAAGTGGGTTTTTCATTCTTTCTCTTTCTCTTTTTTCGTTGCACATTTTGTCAATGGTTTGACAGTTCGAATTGAATTGGAAACACTGATTTATTTATTGATGGTGCTTTGCTTACGAAATGGGCTTGAATTATTTAAAATACAATGAATTTCGTTCTAATTTGCAACACCATTTGTATTTAAATACCGACGACGTGCTGAGTGTGCGTTGCATTTCAAATTGATTCAATTGACGAGTCATTGCGCTAATAAGTGTGTTTAGGAAAGTTTTATTTTAGTGACGTTTTGTTTTGTTTTTTTTTCTTGCTCCATCTCATTTGCAGGCATTTGTGGTGCCAAATTGAATCAAAGCATTTTCTACATTTGAATAGCGTTGATCAGTTCAAAATGGAGCCAAGGAATTGTGCGGAAATTGTGAAAGTCATTCGTACGCTGTTAACATCGGCAAAAAATGGTTTGCTCACCGACGAAATCATCGATGACTACGAACAAATGGAAGGTAAACAAATTCCACTCAAAGCACTCGGCTACAATACGTTGGCGGATTTGTTGCGCGACACAAATCAATTTGCATTGATTGAAACGAATCAAGGCATTAAGGTGATGTCAAAACCGTCCAAAGATGCATACGTTAATAAATCGGCACCGAATAGTCCGAGCAAAGGTAAAAAGAAGGGCAATATGATGCCACCACAACGGGCGCTACGATCAACCACTGATAATCAATGGAGTGGTACCGCCTATTCACAGGCCTACACACAAATACCAAATCGTTCGGTGAAAAAAGCATACACACACCCGGCCAAGCTATTGCAAGCGGCCTACAGTAATGGCGGTGCCTATCGACCCATTTTAAAGCAATCGAACATTAAACAAGTGCCAAAGGATGATACTCCAAATTATACAGCCACAGAGCCAACAAATAATTCGAACAATTCAATGAATCAATTGCGATCGTATCCAATGCGACAGCAAAATTATCAACAGAACAGTGGTGCACCGAATGCATGGATGAATCAACGCAGTATGGACCGGATCACGAGGAAATCGAATGATACACCGTCGGGAAAGAGTAGCGTGCAATCACGTTTGGCCATTCAAAAGAACCTATCGGCTGATGTGACCGATTTTGTTGCATCGCAACCAGCGCCTGTTGTTCACGAACCAGACGACAATTTGTTTGGTTATTCAAATGGAGGCGGCATTACTAAAAAGGTAAGGAATACTCTTACGATTGAATATTTTTTTGGGAAAGTTTCACCGTAGCAATTTCGTATTTCCTGACGACCAAAAATAATTGAGGCGTTTTTTAGATGAGCTTCATCGAATTTTACTTTGATTCATTTCGCTTTAATTTGAGCAAATGTCAATGTGATGCTCAAGATTCCATTAATTTCGTTTTTTTATCAACTTTTCATTGATTTCATTTCAATTTGTTGCTTTCATTTTAACACAGATGAACAACATCAAGTTGGACAGCCTCGAGCAAATGCCATTGGTGCAAGCAATCAGCGTGTATTGCCGACAGAAAGGCTATGCTGAACCACAATATTCATTCAGCAAAACAAAGGCGCGTCAATTTACCTGCAAAGTGACCGTTGGACCGGCCATTTATGCCAGCTACCCAAACGAATTCAACACACAAATTGAGGCACAGAATGAGGCAGCACGTATCGCCTACGAAAATATTAATGATTTGGAATACCGCGAAAAGTATCCCATTTGCATGGATTCAGCCGCTGAAATAGCCTACAAAATATTTGATTGCATCAGCGAAAATGGCGTCTTCTTAAAATTCATTCCACAGCTTTTCCAGTGAGTATCTGAAGTTTAGATGACTTTCATTAAAGAAATTTGGTTTTTTTTCGGGATACCGAATCAAAATAAACAAAAATTATGATACTAATGCGGCTATAATAAAAAAAATTCCAGGGAAAAGTACGACGCAACACTTCCTGATGGTTGGATGGGTATCATTGAGGATAATCCACGAATGTTTTCGATTGCCAAAGATGCACTGATGGATCGTGTTTATCCGAATTTGTCGCACCAAAATAGCAAAAGTGGCTCGTTCGAACCAAAGGTTAACGACATGGAAGATTTGGTTTTGCCATGGCATGAAAAACACTGGAATATCTTTGTGACATCGGTATCGTCAACAGTCGACATTTGGGGACGACTAATCGGTGCTGATTATTCGGTGAGTTTTGAACAAATTAGAAGTTGTCGAGTATTGTTGAAGAAATTTGTTAGAAAATATGAAGCAAAAACAAATATGTCTCAGTTCCTGTCGATTCATTTCGTCAATTTCGTTAGCAATCAAGATTTTCTATCAAATAAACATTTTCCAAGTCAAAATCGTGAATATTTCTACTAAACTCCTGGAAATTTTCCATTCCAGGCGAAATTGGATTCAATTTTGGACGATATTGAAACGGAATTAGTATCGGGTGGTTCGAAGACAGTGTGCACCAATTTGACCGTGGGCAAATATTGTTACATAACCAATCCGGATTGTTATCGTGTTCGTATCGAGAAAATCGATGAAATTCGACGAATGGCACTGTGTTTCCTCGTTGATTACGGCGATGAAGAATGGTGGTCCGTGGATCAAATCTACGAAAGTGATTCGAAATTATTCCAATTGCCATCGCAGGCGATTCGATTTAGTTTGTTCAATTTGGAGGATTTTGCCGAGAATCCGCATGCCAAACAAGAGGTGGACGAGTATCTTGCGGGTAAAACACTGATTGCCGAAGTGAAATCCACACAAGCCGAATACCAGGCACAGTGCGAATCAAGCGTTGATGCAAAAATCAAGGCCGTTTTCTATGACACATCCTCCGATGACGATGTCCAGTTGAACAAAGTGATTCTCGAGAAGATTTGCGAAAAAGTTGAACCGCCGCAGCTACAGCGCTCCAAATGGAATCCTGTAAATGTGTCGCACATCAGCGATACGGGTGACATTTACGTGCAATTGTACAACGATAAAGGCAACACGGTGCATAATATCAAGCAGCTCATCCATCGATTAACCCAGAATGGAATCAACAAGCAATTTGCTCGCAACAATACAAAACTCACGGTTAACGACTATACCGAATTGTATCTAATTCAAGATCCAAGCGATCTAAAATGGTATCGTGCAGCGATTTTACCGAAAAAATCAACCGATGACACAACGGAATTGTGTAAATACATTGATTATGGTATGACCAAACATGTTCCACGCGAAAATATCTATCGATTAGATCTTTTAAGCGCTGCGCTCAGCAAATATCCACAGCAAGCGATTCTTGTGCGACTTAACGATGTTACCAATTACAATCCGAAGATTATTGCACGTTTGCGTGGACTTTTGTGCGCCGGCACACCAGTTCTCGCGCAAATCGCTGGCGTCAGCTCAATGATACCAATGGTGAACATTTGCAAACGGCTCGAAAGTAATATTCTTTGTAAAATTAACGACACCATTCGCATGGAACAGGAGATTGAGACGTAAGTATTCTTTTGAAAATTGTCAACTCTTCTCAAGGGAGTGTGCAGCTTCCTTCGAAGATCAGAGAGACTAAAAAGGTTATCGTTCTCATTTTAGTTCGGTTGATTTTCTGCTGGACAGCGAAAACTCCTTCAGTTCACCAGTTGGTAGCAAATCTTCACAAACCAAAGATGACAAAGAACTGCAGCTGTATCCCGAACCATCGCTCGATAAATTTTTCAATGTTATTGTGGTAACAGCACCCAGCCCATCAAACTTTTTTGTAAGTTTGCCTGAAAATTCACTTGATTCTGTGTAAATGTGACAAACATCTAAAATACGCCTTTGAATTTGATTTAATTTTACAGGTTCGACCTTGCCTAGAAGAGGTTGGATTTAAAAATATGATGCTGCAACTACGAAGCTATTGCGATAATTTACAACAGCGTGTCAATCAAAACGATATTCAAGTGAATCAATACTATGCCGGTCAGATGCAAGATACCTATTGGTATAGGTAAATAATCGACTCTTTTCTCCTTGAGTTTGAGACCGAGGAAATCTTATTTTAGACGAAATGATATTCATATCTTTCTTTTTTTTTAGAGTAAAAATCCAAAATATCTTACCGGCCGACACAGTGGTGGTGTACAAGTGTGATTTTGGTGATATCAGCTTTTTGAGCACAGACGCATTACGGCCGCTAACACCGGAATTCAGAAAGATTCCACAGCTTGCTATTCCAGCTAAATTGCACGGTAGGTGCTTATGGCTCGTTTTAAAACGTATTTTTGATCAAATTGTATGAAGTATTCACTTCTTGAGCTTTGATTTACAACTAAATTGTTTTATTCAATAATTTGACAACACATTCTATCCTTGTCATTAATTGTTTTTTTTCTCGAATAATTACTACTTGAACTAGCTCAACCAAACCATAGCTATGGTTTAAGACAAAATTGGTCTATAATAGAATTTCTATTCAATATGTGACGAACCAAAATTATTTACAATGATAACAATTTCATAGCATACTTAATACAATGGTTGTGAAATTTGATGTTTTTTTACTTTCAAATTGATTTTTTTAATAAAAAAAATAGAGGAATTTGCTGTGAAATAAAGTGAATGTCCATTAAAAAATCGAATTTTAAAAACGCATATACTTCGTCAAAGAAAATTAATAATTTTATCTAACCAATTCGTTCATTTTTCGCCCGTGACAGGAATTCAACCGAAGAACAACGTATGGAACAATGATGACAGTGCGTTCTTCCAGAATTTAACGGTGCAAAAGCAATTTGCAACCGGAATCAAGGCAATACGCAAAGAGGCCGGCAATCCAAATTACATGCTTGAAATTGTGCTAATTGATGTATCAACGACACAAGACATCAATATCAACGAAGAGTTGGTCAAAAATCAGCATGCCAATTATCTCTAAAAAAAACACATCCCATACCCATCGGATTCAATTGTGTGCATTATTCACACCATTGGATCTAACATTTTAATCATTGCAAACGAATCGCTTTTCAATCAATATTTATTTCGTTTATAACATACGCGTAAGCAACACGGTCATATTCATCGATACGAGTAAATCATCGAAAATATCAAGTTTGCATGCGAAAACTTGTGAAAATAACCGAAGAAATAACAATTACATTCAATGTAATTCTGCAAAAAAAAACGAAGATTGAAAAAAAAACAAAACAAAAAAAGAATCGAAACAAAGCCTAACATTAAGAATTTGAAAATACGAGCGAATTATTTATTTATGAAATTTGATATAATCATCAATCGATAAGAAACCTCATTTCAAAAACTAACAAAAAAAAGCGTTTATGCATTGCCAAAAAATCGATTTAAATAAAACAAAAAAAAGCATCAGTATAATTAGGGGAACGGAAGGGATTTTGTTGAATTCTTTTTATATATACAAAATGAAAGGCATAGTGATTGGCATGTTTTCCTGGCTTCCAACGCAAAAAAGAAGAAGATTGAATTGGAGAAAAAAATCGTTTCTTATGATATGCGAATCAAAAGCAAATTCTAAAGACTTTACACAATTTGATTTTTACGATAAAACTTTATCATTCCGAATCACGAGAAATATTTGCACAAAAAAAAATCCTTCGAAATATACTGAACTGAACTGGTGGCAATTCAAAAGAGGAAAATAAATTAAACTAATCGAAAGATATTTTATTTACACAAATAAAAAACAAAGAGAAAGAATGGAAAAAATAAGAAAAAAAATACAAACTCGAATGAAAATTTTTGTGATATATTCCCATTTACATTTGGTTTTACACGCTAAAATCAGACAATGTAAAACGCCAATTTTTTTTATTTTTATTCTTATTTTCGTTATTAACGTTTTTTTGTTGCTAATTTTCGTTCCAAATAAAATAAAAAGGAATTTGAAAAAAAAAAACAAAAAAAAATATATCAATATTATGCTAAGTTTATTGTTGAAACATTTA